TCCATTTCTTCTAGATTGCCTAATTTATTGGCGTAGAGCTGTTCATAATATGTTTTTAAAATCGTTTGTATTTCCTTGGTGTTGGTAGTGATCCCTCCTTTCTCATTCATGATTTTATTAATTTGAGTCTTCTCTCTCTTCTTTTTAATAAGGCTGGCTAATGGTTTATCTATCTTAATTCTTTCAGAGAACCAACTCCTGGTTCTGTTGATCTGTTCCACAGTTCTTCTGGTCTCGATTTCGTTGAGTTCTGCTCAAATCTTTATTAACTCTCTTCTTTTGCTGGGTGTAGGATCTATTTGTTGTTTTTTCTCTAGCTCCTTTATGTGTAAGGTTAGCTTCTGTATTTGAGTTCTTTCCAGTTTTTGAATGGATGCTTGTATTAGTTACATGTCTTTGAGACAGTTTTTTAGTATCTCAGTGTATAGAGTTCCTAGAACTCAATCAGTGGGTGTTCAGTTACTGTTAATTTCCTTTCCTTATGACAAAAATGAGTGTTTCTCTTGAATGAATGAATATATATGAATGTCCCAGACTTGACTGGATCATAGAAATCTGTTTAGATTTGGGGATGGATGAGTTCAATCACCTTCCTTGGGTGAAGTCACTCAGAGTTGCTGATTGATGGGCTTCAGAGTGTTATCATTTCCACCATCAGTTCAGTTCACCTTCACTGATCTGAGTAGGAGAAGCAGCAGCAAATAGCACATTATGTCACTATTCCTTTCCACCAAGATTTCAAGCTAAAATTTCTATTTTTATTATTATTTTTAAAGGTTTTATTTATTTATTCATGATAGACATAGAGAGAGAGAGAGACATAGACAGAGACATAGGCAGAGAGAGAAGCAGGCTCCATGCAGTAAGCCTGACGTGGGACTCGATCCCGGGACTTGGGGATCACACCCTGAGCCAAAGGCAGACACTCAACCGCTGAGCCACCCAGGTGTCCCTAAAAATTATATTTTTAAACTACATGTTTGCTCATCTCAAAGAGTTGGATTATAAACTGTTAGAAATCAGGGACCATTAAACAACTATTTTCTTTCTTTTTTTTAAATTTTTTTAAAGATTTTATTTATTTATTCATGAGAGAAAGAGAGAGAGAGAGAGAGAGAGAGAGAGAGAGAGAGAGAGGGGCAGAGGGAGAAGCAGGCTCCATGCAGGGAGCCCAATGCGGGACTCGATCCAGGGTCTCCAGGATCACACCCTGGGCTGCAGGTGGTGCTAAACCGCTGCGCCACCAGAGCTGCCCTAAACAACTATTTTCATTTGCAGTAGATTCAGAATATAATTATCTTGAGTTTGGAAAAGATGTGCTGCTGAATGCCAAGTAAACGGCCATACAACTGGAAAACATCAAGCCTTCCCTCTCCCCCAGCCAGACTTAAGCAGCTCTTCTTCCGAACCCATAGCACTTTGTCCCGGTAGCAAGAGATCTCAACTTGAGGCTCAGACACTTTAAATCACTGGTGTTTCAGTGTGTCTGGTATGTTAGAGGTCTGCTTTCCGGGGATGCAAAGGAGCCTTCTGGGAGACTTTTCAGCCTAGGGAAGGGAGTATCAGGCCTAGTGTTCTCAGCCAGAAATTTGAAGGAAGGAGTGATTCCAAGTAATTTGTTTAATTGTTTTGTTGTTGTTGTTGGTGGTGGTGTTTTGGTTTGGTTTGGTTTGGTGTTTTGCACTGTAAAGGCAGGGCAAGCAGCCAGAACAGGCAGGGAGGAAGTGTAGGATGGTCATGGGTGAATAAGGTTGGTTGGTAAAATATGGAAATGGTTTCACTTTAAAAATCACCTTAGGACTTGGGAGCAAAGGGAGATAGCTTTGCTAACATCTGGAATGCTGCTGTCTAACCGAAGCCTGGATGGAGAGGTGCACAGAGCCCAGCTGGGCTTGAATACCTCGGGCTGCTAGCTCAGGCTGCAGGAGTATCCCGTGGGAGTTGAGGTGCACCACCCTCCCACCCAAAGTGGCAGCTGTTGCTTCAAGACATGACTTCTCAGCAGCAAGCTAGGAAACTGGGAGGCCCCTTTCCATAGTGTGGCAGGCAGTAAAAACATTAATCGGTGCCACAGGAGGAGGCCAGATGGTGAGAGAAAAGGGTTTGTGCCCATTGGTCAAGTACAAGTCTTCTCTGTGGGCTCACCTGTATATCTGCTCTGGGAATCCCAGAAGACAGCAAGGAGAACCCAGTGAAGGCTTTGGGGCCAGCACCACAGATGGTGGTCAATAAAATACAAGCTACTGCCAGCCCCCTCTTAGCTCTGCAAGCATGAATGCTCACCCAGGAAGTGGGTGTATGCATGAGGTCACTTAGCACCCAGTCTTGGAAGTCTTATGCTAGCAAATAAGAATGGGGGAGAAGTGGTGGGAGAAGAGGAAAAAAACTTGCTGCGTTATGTGATCATTTAGTTACATGCTCTTTTTTTCCCTTTTTTTTCCTCAGCTTCATCGAATTGACAAATCTGTTATTTATAAAGTCTACATGATGATTTGATATATGCATGCATTGTGAAAGTATTCCTCGCATCGAGTTAATTAATGCATCTGTCATCTCACATATTTACCTTTTTTGCTTTTAATTCTCTAGTGAGTGCATTTTAGTTCAACTCTCTTAGCAAATTTCAGTCATCCATTACGGTGTTACAGAGCATAGTTATTATGTTGTACATTAGATCCTCAGACCTTATTCATCTCATAGCTGAAAGTCTGTATCCTTTTACCAACCTCTCCCTAGTTCTCCCAACCCCTAGCCCTTGGTACCTACTTTTCTATTCTGTTTCTGAGTTCAACTTAAAAATAATTTTTGGGGGGCAGCCCAGGTGGCTTGGCAGTTTAGTGCCACCATCAGCCCAGGGCGTGGCCCAGGAGACCCCGGATTGAGTCCCACGTCGGGCTCCCTGCATGGAGCCTGCTTCTCCCTCTGCCTGTGTCTCTGCCTCTTTCTCTCTGTGTGTCTCTCATGAATAAATAAATCTTTAAATAATAATAATAATAATAATTTTTTTAAGGTTCCATGTACAAGTGATTCCATACGGTGTTTTTTTTCCCCTCTGATTGGCTTATTTCACTTAGCACAGTGCCCTCCAGATTCATCACCCATATTTTCACAAATGACAGGCATTTAAAATAATCATACTCTCCGTATGTCTCAGCCTTGAGTAATATACAGAACACCTTTAGAGAACATGTTCCCTGAATATACATAAGCCAGGTCCAAACTACATGTGGTTATACTTCTAGATAATAATGAACAACAACAGGGATCCCTGGGTGGCACAGCGGTTTGGCGCCTGCCTTTGGCCCAGGGCGCGATCCTGGAGACCCGGGATCCAGTCCCACGTCGGGCTCCGGTGCATGGAGCCTGCTTCTCCCTCTGCCTGTGTCTCTGCCTCTCTCTCTCTCTCTCTGTGTGACTATCATAAATCAAAAAAAAAAAAAAAAAAGGAACAACAACAAAAATGTACAAGGTGCTAAAAAGACCTTCATTTTAATAGAATTTAAATTAATAATATTGGTTAATGGGATGAAAGGTTTTGTTTTGCTTAAATTAAATTCACCAGGACCACACGGGGGTTTTTTGGTTTTGTTTTATTTTGCTTTTGAGTTCAGAAGGCCTCTGCCCCATGTGCTGTGGACTGCCCCAAATTCTGCCCCCAGTCTTAGCCAGCTAGCTGCTGAAAGCAGTGTCATCCTATGGCAAAGCTGCTTCGCTTACACCCCGGGACAATTCTTTTCATTGGCACTTGTCAGGTTGCAAGTTGCAAACTCTGGAAGACCAGCTTGTCCTTCTAGCACTTGAAGGCTCTTCAGGAGGTAGATTGTATCAAGAGGCAGGTTCTCTGGAAGAGCCCAGAACTCTGCAAATGAGTGATTTGCTGATGTTTCCCAATGAACTTGTCTGGCTTTCTGATGTGACATCACAGCATGAATTTTTTGAAAATTTCTGAGACTCAAGAAGAAGCATCTGCTTATAAAATCTTTCCACTTTGCTATGTGCATAGGGCTTGGGAAAAGGGGTGAGGCAAGGAGAAGCTTCAGCTCTAGGCTGCTCACAACGATTTATCCCTGAGCCTCTGATTCAGGAGGCTGTAAGATCCTATTCTACGGCTTGGAGTGTTCAGAATTTGCAAAGAATGTCACCATCTGCTCTCTCTGTGACCTGATGTCATACAGACCAGAATATCGTACTCTCATCCCAAACCCTTTCCTTTTAAGGGTATGCACAGTTGTCCAATTTTAGGGAGAGGATAACTCTTTTTTGCTCCTGCTCCTCATCTCTTTCTGGAGAAGGATCAGAGTCTGTATGGGAGGATGGTTGCCGAGCTCCCTGGCTCCAAGCATAAATCCAGTTGAGCAGGCTTCTTTGCTCTGTTGCATTTATTGGGCTTCATTTCTAACTGTAGCAATGCTGTGAGCCTTCAAGGACCCGGGGCTTGAGGTGCCTCTGGCTGTTTGCCTCCCTGCCATTCTTGTTTTCCCTCTCTTTCTCCTCAGATTTGCCATCTGAGTGACTGTTGCTCACTGATACTGCTTCCATTTCCAATGATGGCCACCACCTGTGGCCACTCCTTCAGTTCTCTGGGGCGTTTTCTTCTGTTTGCTTTTTCCTTTTCTTACATCTTCTTATGTCTAGTGGGTAAATGAGTTCTCCTTGTACCACCATTACCTGTCCATCAAAATGTTCTTTTTGGTTTTTCTTTCTCAGTGGCTGACAGACAAGTTGCAGCATGTCAGGGATAATTCGGGGCATTGACCTCTTACTCAGAACAGCACAAGAATTGGCCAGGCTGTTAAAGTGGGCTCATTCCAAGCTCTGGGAAGCTCTGCGACATGGGGGCCCAAAGGCACTGGTGTCCGTATCTCCCTCCAAATGAGACTTTCCCCTCGGTACTGTGTTCAAATTCAGACACGAAGCCATGGCAGCTTCACTGGAGGTCACCTAAAAGCATTCGCCTCCATCTCAATTCTCTTCATGGCTTTGATTTGTCGTGTATGCAGAACCCTCCTGCAGCAGCTGCAAAAGCTTCAGACTTTGGTGATGGGCAAGGTTTCGCGCACCTGCAAGTTGGCCGGCACACAGACTGGCACGTGCCTCATGGTGAGTTTCCCAAAGGGACAGCACCACGCATGCCCTGGCCTACCTCCTAGTCTCCATTCTCTCCCCAGCTTGCCCAGTCCAGGCAAGGTTGGAGGAGTCGTGCACCTCACTCTGAGAGGAAGTTTCTTTGCTGTGACGTTCCCGAGGTTTACCTGTTGGCTCAGTCCAGCCTGGTGAAGGGGAGCCTGTCTCCCTGGACCTCCTGGGTGTTGCAGGGCTAGAGGTTTGCTCTGAGGATCCTGGAATTGACAGCTCCCTGTGTTCTCTCCTCCCCCTGCAGGTGGTTGTGCTATGCTTTGCTGTTGCATTTGGCAGCTTCTTTCAGGGCTACGGGCCCTATCCTTCTGCCACCAAGATGGCTCTGCCCAGCCAGCACTCCGTGCAGGAGCCGTATACAGCCTCTGTTGGTAAGACAGCTCTCAGCAACTCGTAAAGTACCATGCTGAATTTCTCTGGAGCTTTCTGAAAGCTCAACATTCTGAAGGAAGTCTGAGGAGAAAGTCTAATCTTTAAAAAAGTGGTCAGAGTGTAGCTTCTCCATTGAAGGGGTGGGGTCTGGTGCCCAGGCTTCGGGGTCCCTAAGGCACCAGTGGGAATTCTCTAGAGCTTGGCAGAGTCACTTCACAAACTCTTGCTCTATGTTCCCGAGCAAATTCTGAGGTGTCCTTTTTGAGCTCTGATAAGGGGGAGGGATGTGGATTTGGGGATGAGTAAATAGAGGGGGACATTAAGTTTTCCATGACATTTTAAAGGACCTCCTGTATTTCTACTTCCACTCAGTGGAATTGTGTGTTACCGTAGTAAGAATTCATGAAATGAATCTGTCCGTCTTATACAACAGTATGGCCACGATTTACAGACTCAGGTGTTAGAGAAGAAGTGTGTGATAGCCTCGCCTAGATCGATGATCCAAGCATGCAGGAAATAATGAAGTGGCCTCTGGGGACCGTTACATATACGCGAATACACATATCCAGTAATAATAATGAGTGTGGGATTGGGGATACTGGCACACACTTTTTGCAGTTCTGAAAGGTCTCTGGTCTTCACCAGGTGGTTGTAGCCCTGCCAGGTTTATGACAGAAATGCTAGCATTTCAACCAAATAATTTCAGTGATCTCTTGGGAAATTCTTTTTTCCCTAAGGGAATGTATCTGTAAATTTAGATGGAAGCCAATGAGAGCAGAGTTTCTGTGTTGTAGAAAATTTGCTACAGAGCCATCTAGCTATGCAACTATCCTATAAAACAAAGAAACTGTCTCTGTCATTTGATTTATGGCTTTGGCTTTGTGGCTTCTCTCCGGTTTCTAAATGAAAATGCAGTTTTCCGCCCTTGTACCTTCTCTCCATGCAAGACCAACTCATTAGAAATGTTTCTTATTTTAGCTGGTCTGGACATCTCCAAGTATTTGACTCCATTCTTCATGAATTGTTTCCCCCAGATGGTTATGGGTGGGCAAGGAGGGGAGTTTTATTTTCAAAGCAGTGGGGGTGGCAGTTTGCTTCATGTTTGTTTGCTTTCCTATTGTTCTTCCAGCACTGTATAATTGGTATAATTTTTCAATGCACAAAACTCTGAAACCCTGAAGCCTTTATGGAAAGCCAACTCTAGCTGGCACCCTCAGTTCTGGGCAAAAGGACCCACAAATTGTCATCTGCTTCCAGCCCTAGGCATTGAGTGAGGGGATGTGATAAACCCTGTGGTCTCTCCCTAACACCTCTTATTTTGCTCTGTCCTCAGTGAGATCCAGGAATCTGCTGATCTATGAGGAACATTCTCCCCTGGAGGAGCCGTTGAGCCCAGCCTCGGCTGGGGAACTTGGGCATTGGGACAGAGGGTCCTCCCTGCTCAGGGCATCAGGGTTGGAGACCAGGCCTGATGTGGATCTTCCCCATTTCATTATCTCAAATGAGACCAGCCTGGAGAAATCGGTGCTGTTGGAGCTACAGCAGCACTTGTGAGTCAAGTACACACACAGATGCAACTCCTCTAATGATGATGGGTTGTGAGTCAGCAACCCGGAATGTGGGGTGTAGACTTTCCCATAGGCCCAGTCCAAACCCTGGGCTCTTTCAGGACCTATTTTCAGGACCTGGGACTCTGGAGAGTTTACTACTTGCCAACAGCTGCTCTTAGTAGACACGGGGTGGGGGTGAGGGGAAAAACCTAGGGTGAGCTGCCCCCATGTCTGCTTTGTCACTGGGGAGCTGGCCGTGGTGCCTGCAAGGAGTGGCAAAGGGCTTGACTCCCACCTTCCTCCCCATAAAGCCTCATAAGTAAACACAGAGCCCACCTTAGCAGTGTGCTTGCTATGCAGGTACAGCCTTAGGACACCTTCCCTACCTTCCTTCGACCTAGAGATACATATATGTTATGCTATATGTTCATATATAGTTTTATGACATATATAAATAACATGTATTAATTATATATTTATGTTGAGGGGCATCCTTTGAGAGGCATTGCGCATAGACATGTTTCCATGTTGAAAATAAGACTGGGCTCCAGTTCTCCATGAGTTGTTTCTTTAGGTAGTTGCAGGGTCGGGGGGAGTCTTTTTGTAAACATAAAGGCTTATAGGACGGCCAGATATTGTTATTGTGCTGGGGGAGGTTCCTGAAAATGCCAAACAGCATGGGAAGGAGGGTCTGCATGCACACTCCTGGTTACACATGCTGTGGTTGCTGATCGAGCTTAATTCCCCCTTGTGCTTCCCAGAAATGATGCTATTCCAAAGCAAGTGCTCCCCCGCTTGAAGATTCTACTTTGGATTCCTCAGCTTTTTTCCCCTAAAGCTGTGGGGAAGGTTTATAATTGCATGTACTTTTATATGTTTACATTATACATGCATATTTAACATTTACCAGAACTTACTCCCTTAAGTACTGTACCGATGTGATATATAAATCCTTTTAAATACTGTAAGAGTCTAGGCATTATTATTTATTTCCATCACAGAGAAATTTCTAGAGATGCCACTGGGAGCTGTAGAAGACTTAGCTGCTTGATTACATGGCTCATACCACAAGTCTTCTCCCCTCTTGGCTCAATATTCAGGGGCCCACTGAAAATCTCACTTGTTCTGGGGTGTCTCCCGGATACCAAAGCCCTCTTAGCCCTCCTCTGAGTACCTAGAGACTTTCTAGGCTGTTGTACAATTTGATAACATTCATTTTCTGTTACATGTTTAGTATTAGTTCAGGTTAGCTTTTTTTTTTTAATTTATCTGAATTATTAGTATTCTAGACGAGGAATCGGACTCTATCCTTTATTTTCTTCTTTCCAGAGCCTAGCATAGGGCTCGCCATCATCAGTAGATACATTCACTTAAAGCAATTTGTGGCAAATCAGCATCAAGCCACAATGCTTATCTTCTGGGTTGGGATGTCTCCTCTTGGGTTGGGATAAAGGGAGGAACACGACTGAGCGCATGGGCTGGTAGCTGGAGACTGGGAACAGAGGGTTGCTAGTTGGTGGGAAAAAGAGGAGAACCCACTTGGGCTCGCCCGCAAAGTTGTAGTCATGGAATGATTGTGTCATATGCCCAAGCGTGAGAATCAGAGTTGTTAGTTGGTGACTGAGATTCTTTTCTCCTTTTGGTATCTTTCCAGGGTCAGCGCCAAACTGGAGGGGAATGAGACACTAAAAGTTGTAGAACTCGACAGAAGAGTGAACGCCACCTTCTGAGGAGGCTGTCTCCACCTCCCTCTTTCTCTTCACTCTGCTTTCACATCCCCAAATCACCTTTGTCATAAGCTTTCCCTTTTTGCCTTTTATCTGGACGAAGACATGGATGAGCAGTCATGGCTTTGGATGGGAGGATAGCCTGGGATTTCCACCTGCAGTGAGAGAGCTCCTTCCCCTCCATCACATGCCCCCCTGAACAGGGGAGCCCGTGGCATCCCTCCCTCCCTCTTGCTTCCTGACATAGGAAATTATTTTAGGATCGAGGCTGGGATGGGACGAGCAGGCTACCAATAGTGCCAAAAAGATACAGCCTGATTTTCACTGTCGGTTGTGACCATCTCTCTGAAGACGAGATGACTCTTGTTTCTATGAGACCCCAGACTCCAGCCACAAAAACACCAGGATGCCTGCTGGGATCTGGCAAAGCACTGACTGACGTCCTGCCTTCCTTGGCCTTGATCTCTCATGTGTCTGCCCCCCACAGCCCCTTCAGTGAGTACCCCTGCCACTGGGCCCCTCCCGAGCCCTCGCACATCGTCCTCCCCGCACTGGAGCGAGGGCTCCCCTCCCCATTCTCAGGCCGCAAGTGCAATGCCTGAAGGAATCAGGCTTCTCTACTCCAGGCGAACCTGCCCCATCTTGTTGCTTGTAGGACATCCCCACAACCTGCGTCCTCACACACCCATAGGTCTGCCTCCCCAGCTTCTCCTCCCCATTTGTAAATAGTATTTATTAGCTCGCTGAGGCTTCCTGCTAGCAGCCACACTGAGAAGATCTGACGCCTCCCTCCAAACTGGCAGTGTTCTGTTGGCCTTGGGACCTTGGAGGGTACCCTAAGCCGTGGGATCCCCAATCCTCCAGATGCCTTTTTTTCCCCTCTTCCTCCTGTTCCTCCCTCCTCCTCCTCCCCTTTCTACAGCTGGAGGCCTATAATTCTAATTGGGAAATCCCCTTAAGCTCTTGTCCTCCTACAGAATGGAGTCGGAGGGAAAGATGGAGGGATGCCTTAATTAGGTCTGTGGCTCTAGGGTCAGATGCTTTTTCTGTCCTGTTCCCATAAGAGAAGGGAATCCTTGTCCCTGATAACAGGCGATTTGGACAACCTGGCTGGCTTGCCTCTCCACACCTGCTCCTAGTGCCCTCCTCCCCACCCCCCTACACTTCTGCTTTACCCTCCTTCTGCCTCAACACAGGGGGTGGGTCTGAGGCCTGGGGTGGGAGCAGGTGACTTTGTTTAGTCACAGTCTTACCTTTGGTGGTCAGGTTTGGCTACTTTGCAGCTTACCCAAAGAGATACAACCTAAACCCCCCAACCTACTTTTTTTTTTTTTTTGTAATGATTAAAAGTAACTTTTGTAGCTAAAAAAGAATTCTTTCCTCTTTCATACAAATAAGAAATGGAAATTGCCTTTTTATTGTATAGTGTAGAAGATTCCCTTTCAGTGTTTTCCCCTAGCTTGTGAAAGATTTTGTGTAATCTTTTTTTTGCTTATTATTTCTTTGCTTATTATTTTGTATTTTATTTTTAGTAGAAGCTGAAGGACCTTTAGCTTTAACTCCTCGCTTGCTCTCTCTCACTCTGTGTTTGGTCTACACTGTCATTGAAACCTGCACTTACACAGGATTAAGCCCTTACCTGGGCCTTCCATTCCATATCAGATGCAGGATTTGGTGTCATTAAGCATTTGCCATCATACCTCATAAGCAGATCCCTGCTTTGTCTGCCTTGGTACACCTGGGGCTCCCCGGGAGTGGTTCTGCGCTCTCTCTTTCTTTTTCTGCTGTGGTAGAGAGGGTTCCAGACCAGGGGGGATGCCAACTGTCTCTTCTCGGCTGTGTGTAAAGCTGGGTTGGGGCAGCTGTCTGCAGTCTCACAACCCCTTACCTTGGCCACGGAGAGCAGAGGCCATCTGAGCTGTGCGGGAAGGGGGGTTACCAGCGTGCCCCCCACCCCTGGCTCTCTCCTTTCCATTCCCTCCTTCTCTTCTGCTCTAGATCTTACTGGGCCTGGCTGCTGTCAGGCAGCCATGGGCTGCTGCCGACCCATCCCTCTCTTTAAAATACCATATAATTACCAGGCAAAGGCAGCCTGTGGGGCCCTAAGAAGGTAAAAAGAATGAACTCAAGTAGTATTTGGTCAACGAGAAAGGAAAGGTTTTATAAGTAAGGGCAGACATGTGAGAATGGGTCAGCCTACCCACCTGCTGCAAGGGAACCAGATCTGGGTCAGCCTACCCACCTGCTGCAGGGGAACCAGATCAGGCTTTGAAGGCTCCTGGATCAGCCAGGGTGGGAGAGCTGTTCTTCCGAATGAGGCCGGAGAAGGGAAAGGCTGGCCAACCTCCAGTCTCTGCCCTTAGTGTCCTGAGGATTTTATTTTCTGCCCCACCTACCTTTTCTTGTCATCCCCTTCTGCAGACCTCCACACGGCAGGGTGTTCTCTCTGGGAAGCCGTTCTTCCAGGACTGAATCTGTGTCTAGAGACAGGAGACATCCACTTGGGAGCTCAGATGGCCATGTTCAGGGGGTTCCAAGAGCCAACCCTGCTCTGTTTTGAGAAAAACCTCTGCCCTGCACGCCCTGCTTCGGCAAATCAAGGGAACTAAAGATTTACCTTTAGGAGGATGCCATGGGGTCAGGACAATGTAGAGGAATCAGATAATGCCAAGTGATTAAGGGCTGTGTGCTTGTTGCCTTTTCTGGGGTGAAGCCCTGCTATAGACCACAGGGCAATACCTGGTTAGCCCTGAAGAGTTCAAGCAGACTTTCAGACTTGAGTTTTGAAAGGTATGAGACTGTTAGCATCACTATGAACCATAAATAATAAATAGGTTACTCAATTAATACATTAATTATATTTTTTGTCATGTGAACAGCGTTTCCTCTTGCCTCTCTTTGATTACCCCGGTGAAGGAGGTATCTTGCAAACATTCAAAGAACAAGCACTTTTTCACTGGTTGAGCCCCAATAACCCAAGCGCCCCCAGCTTGGCCCTTTCCCCAGCTCTTGACCCTATACTTAAAAATGGATGCTGGAGATGAAAGGCCCCAGTGCCAATTTAAGAAGGAATTTCTGTGAAGTGTGAGGACTCTAGAGCCTCGATCACATAAAGAGAGTGTTATGTAAAAATCTGACAGCTGAACTAGGTTGCTCCTTTTGTGTGCGTGGGGGTGGGGGGGTGAGGTTTGACACCAGCGTAGGCAAAATTAGATAACTTTTTCACTAATAAAAATGATATTGATTCGGAGAACTAATTTGTAGGTTGTGAAAGAAGCTTGTAGCTCAACTTATTTACAAACCAACTATAATTACCACGTTTTTTTTCCTTCCTAAATCTCACAGTTGAGCCTGAATGCCAAAGGAGGGCGGTGAAGCTCATGCGCCCATAGAGCAGGAGTGTTGAAGTGATTCATCCTTATTCTGGCAGCGAGGCGGTGTCCAGAATTCTGGTCACATGTGTTTCATTAAAATTTGTCAACACTTCATGGCTCCTTTCTTCCATGTCCTCAGACCAAGCAAAACCACAAAGAGAGAATCAGAGGCCTCTTGGGGCCGGCTCTGGAACACACATGTCCTGTAGGGTGTGTACTTGAACATGACGTACAAATTGAGACATCCCGCTCTTGGCTGAGACAATGGACCATCGGTGCTGGTCTTGCTGACATGGGGAGATGGAGGAGAAGGCTTTCAGAGCTATTGCCTTTGCATGCTTTTCAGCTGAGGCAATTAGGGGAAGGGTGATAGCCTGAGCCCCTCTGGGAGGCCAGTTACAGGAGAGACTGAGTGGAGGAGCCGGAGCGGATTTCAGGTTTCCCACACAGTCAGCTAGTGAGTCGTAGGACTTTTCAGTTTACTGAGGCAAGAGTGCTGTCTGGAGCCCTAGCGATTGTTGGGGAGTTAAGGGGGCTGCGGAGATTTCATCAATCATTAGCTATTCCAAAGACAAAATACCGGGTCTCTCTCTTCCCCTCCTGACACATACGCACAGTCCCCCCGTGTCTCAAACCCTGTCTTACATGTGCCTTATGCGTATCCTCCGGGATGACCGAGGCCTCCTTCGTCCCTGGGAGATTTTACAGCTAGCCTTGCAGTATTAGACTGAAGTGAGCGTGGGGACAGGACTTTTTCCAGAGGCCCAAAAATGGTTTCCTAAAAGTGAGCCATGGTCAGATTTGCACATCAGGGGGAAAGAAATAGAGTTCGGTCCATCAGGAAAATCCCACTCTGCAAAGCTGCAGTCACATCAAAACAACAGCAAGCTTGGATCAAAGTTATCATAAATCGTCACAGCAGAATATTTTCTCAGGGCCAAGGAACCTGGCCCATTTGGCGATTAATGCCCAATCTCATGGTGGCCACAGAGCCTATGCTTAGTGCAGGAAAAAATCTAGGTGTGGGTTCATTTTGTCATTTTGGGCATCATAATTCAGGAAAGCTTTATTTTTGCGCTTTGAGAAGAGTGGGAAATAATATTTCTTGAGCCCTTATTCAGTGCTGGGTATTGTGCTTCATAAATTGGCTTTTAATTTTATGGACAGAGAAAACGGCGACTAGTTACCAGGAGATAGATCAACCCCTGAGGGATACAGGGAAGTACAGTTTGTGGGTTCAGCTGGGCAGATTCCTCTCTATGAACTTGTAAGGTTCTCTGGGCAGGAAACACGGTGTCTGCTCCCTATGCTGGCCGCGCCGTGCAACCTTCGGTTCTGTGCTTCCTGCTGGAAGTATCCATCAGATGTTCCTCTACGGTCTTGTGCATCCAGTGTTCTGTGAATTCCAGCTAGCAGGCTTTGCATCCTGGAAAAGAAAAACCAGGGGTTTTAGCTCTATTCCTCTGCTCCTGTCCTTTGCTCACCAGCTAGGTGACAACATGAACTTTTTGCACCATGAACCCGTGGCCTACACTGCTTAGAACCTCTCCCTTCCAGATAAAATGCTTTACAAGTCTATGGAAAACACCAGCACACCTTGACAAAGCATGAGGGACCCTGTTTAAACAACGCTGAGCAGACCCTAGACTATAATCAACCATGAGCTTTAATGTCTATGCTGACAGGCTGGACTGCTTTCTCTCTTTTGTAATAGTTCTATAGACCAGTAGTGTTTAATAGATTGTGAGTCTATTATCTGTTGTATTGTGCTTGGGTTTTTTTTTTTTAATGGCTTTTTATTTTTTATTATAGCTAAGGGAATACCAAAAATTTCAAAAAAAAAAAAAAGGCTTTGTAGGATACTTGTACTTAGTTTGGGAAAAAAAATGAATTGAAATTGTTATGCTTTTGTATTTCCATTTCTTGCAAATAAAAATATTTTTTTCTTAAATAGTAAAATGTGGTCCCGTCTTTAAAATCCTGGTCATATGGTTCTAAAAGCATTTTGCTTTTCTTATGAGCACGGCTTTTGTACATGTGCACCTAACCATTCTTTTCTGATTATCTAGTTGAACTGACAGACGAACCTCCAACCGGCAGTTTGTCTGATATCTTAGCCCTGAAATCCATGCCTTCGCTGGAGGAATATTGAGAAACCTAATTGTTTTTTCAGTCACAGGAAGAGAAACAGCATTCTCTAGAGATTTTTGCCGCCCGACTGCTGTGTTCATTGTCTACTACAACTATTCACTAACTAGATTACGGAATTCTTCGAATTTGATTCTGCTTCCCCCGTCTCGGATGCTGGGGAATGATGATCTGGGCTTGAGCCAGGAGAGAAGTCTCCTTCTTCAGATGGACAGTTGCAGGGGATGCCTAGCCCAGCGTCGTGCTCCAGAAATTCTAATGAAATGGTTGATAAAGGTCAACGCACTCAAGCAGAATCATCATCATTCCATTGCAATTTCAGCGTTCAAATTTAATTTTCTCCACTCAGACAGAGTGGGGCTTCATTTAGCCTCAAAAAGAGAACCCAAGATGTTAAGAGATGAAGGCCATGGACAGTGCTTACCTGCAAAAAAAACCTACCTTTTCTTTTTCTTTTTTTCTTTTTTTAAAGCAGCATGCCTATCCCTGCTTTGGGCTCAAGGGTGCATTAGTCTCCTGCTGCCTTTCCTCTCTGAGCACCCTGACCTTCTGTTCATACACAAGGGGCCTCTCCCTGTAAAAGCTTTTAGGAACACATTTTTCCTCTTTTTTTCTTACATTGGGAGCCTATTATGGAAGGCTCCTTCTGGACATGCTGATGTCTGTCCGGTGGAAGGGGCAGATACAGATTTCTCTGTATTAATCGTGCCTTTATATTTTCTGTATTCCTAATGCTTTGCATCTGGGGCTTTGCAGACCCAGGAGGGACTGCCCTGGGCTAGCCAGTTCCTAGAGACCTTAAAGGACTTGCCTACAAGCACAACTTTCATATACAAACCAACCAATCCAGAGCCCATACCCCAGCCACCCCTTGCTTCAGCCACCCCAGGGCCCAGTACCAGACAACCAGAGACAGTCCCTACACCTAGAGATCCCCCTTGAGATTATTCAAACTAGCGAATCCTAAACTTGCTTACCTTGTCTTGCTCTTTCCTTCCTGTGGAAACTACAATAAAGCTTCTTGCTGACTTTTCCTTCCTTCCACTGCCTCCTGACTGACTACAGTGCTTCCTTATGTGGCCACTATGGCAGGGTGTGAGTCCCCCTCTTGGGACCTGTGTGTAACAAACTCTTTTCATCAGCAATTGTCTCTTGGCAATCTGCCAGCCTCACCATATCTGAATAATAATAACGGCCTACTTTGAAAAACACATTCCTTAGGCCTTGGAATGTCAAGTTAGAGGCTGATCCCAGACTCGTGGGCATTCTGGGGATCTACTATGACTTGGGGCAATGTAACAGATTTGTTGTCTCATTTCACAATTGGTTGGCAATTGTGTTCCAGAGAAGAAAAATGAGACCTGTAGAGGATGGTGGTGGTTCTTTTTCCCAGGAAATGAGGTAAATCAGAGAGCAGGTGTCTCCTGTCCCAGTCTTGTGCTCAGGCTGGTTCCAAGGTAAATCACACCCCAGGCTCTGCCTGGGAACTATAGAGGCAAGGAAGCAGTGGGGAATACAGTGGGGGAAAGAACCCAGCTGGCTTCAGGAGATAAACGTTTATGGATTTCTGCAGTTTTATCAACTTGCTGGCCGCAAGGGAAAAGGAGATGCTTATCAAGCACCTATTATGCACCTGGTGATTTTTATGTATTATCTATGATCTTATTTATTTCCTCTAAAAATTTTATGAAGAATATATAATTATCCCCTTTCATAGTTGAGGACGCTGGGATTTTAAAAGGGTAAGAGGCTTTCTCGAAGTCATACAGTAAATTAGCTGCAGATGAGAGAGGACAGAGTCTTCAAACTATACTGTGCTGTTTCTAGGGCTTGAGCATTTTTGCTTGTCAAGATGCAGGGGTTAGCCTCTATCAGAGATTGCAGACCTTCAGTGCGTGTGTAAATATTTCCGGTTTGGCCCCATGATGTTTCAAACATTTAAAAATTATTGGTTAACCTTTCGACAGTCCAAGACTACTTGTAACATCAGATTTCCATCTTCTCTTAAAAGACTGGAGGACTCGAAACTTCAGGAGCTGAGTAATGCTGACCCCTTCAGTAGCATGGGTTGTCTGTGGGTGGCTACATGTCTCCATGCCTAGGCTGGTTCATTCATTTATGCTGCTTCCCTGGCCCTTCCATCATCTGAATTGACAGGAAAGGGAATAAAGGATAAGATGCTGTATTGATGGGACTGGGAGGTGGGAGGGTGCTCAGTTTCTCCCTGAGGGACAGAAATTGTGAGGCCTGAGTTTGGAGGCAGCCAGGCTATGAGTCATGGAGGCTGCTGGCTAATTGCCCTTCTTTGCATTACATGAGAGAATTTGAAATCTGGGGTGTGTTCTTAGTCCAAGAGATAAACCTTCACCAATCTCAAAAATGATATTAAAAACTCTTTTTTTATGATCCCACTCATATAAGACCTTATGCTCTAAATAAAGCTCTTTCACATGCCATGTAACTTGCAGATCATCTAGGAGGGAGATGGAGCAGTCAGTGTTGTCCCTGTCACTCAGTTGAAGAAATGGGGGGCTGTGGAGATGGGGATGGCACCACATTGTTACAAGATGAGTGCAAAGCAGAATCATGAACCAACTGTCCCGATTTCCATCCTAGTACCAATTCCATTAGCTATGCCTCATCTGGGCAGGTTGACATGCTAGCTGTCTCAGTCATCCATGATCCTTCCAATGGGATTGCTTTTCAAGATGCCACTGCCATATTCTTTTTCCTAGAATTCTCAGGACTGAGTTTTAACTTGGAGATATATATATATATATATATATATATATACGTATACTTGGAGATATATATATATATATATATACGTATATATACGTATATATATATACCCAAATGTCCCTGTCTCTATAGAGAGGGGGAAAAAGGGAAGAAAGATCATCTCATCTCAGTCATTTCCTTAAAAATAATCCAAGCCACCATTTGAGAGGCTGGTGTCACTTGACCCCTCATTATTTGGTGAGTCTGGGCAGGTGGCACAAGTTGATGTTGTCTTCCAATGGACACAGCTGTTGCTAGATCTTTTTGGCAATTTTAAAGTAGAGTTCTGGCCCCATGAGGAGCCATGTGTTCTCCTCCTCCCTCTGTGCTGTTGTTTTTAGATGGAGGAACAAAAATAACCATTGAGGAATACCATGAAAGCTGCCAGAGAGGCTGTTGTGCTCTTCTCCAAGAATCTGTTTCAAAATGTTTAATGTTTCTTAAGTGAAAAGTATTTGGGAATCGGGGCTGCCAGAGTGTTCATCAGTAATGTCCTCCCCAGTATTACTGCAAAACAGATGGCAAGTTGAGTTTCCTGATGAGTGTATGAGACATTCCAGGTGCTTGAGCTGGTTCAAAGGAAAGCCCTCCCCAAGACAAAAATGTAAATATACAACCACCTACATATTTAGAGACCATCAGGACTGGAAAGGTATCCTTAATCCCCAAAATGTTTCCTTTCTCAACTTAGTTATCAATTAAATGCTTTCAATCATTGATACAGCATTTGATCGTGGTTTGAGATAGTATAAATTGTAAATAAAATGCAAAAAGGAAATACAGTTGACCTGGTATATGCAATATTGCACACATCATTCCATGCAATCCCACTCCAGGGGCAGAACTTGACAGGGGATATAAGTTGAATTAGGAGGGGTGCTATAAGGAAAGTCAGAGTTAGGGACAGCATGCATGGCATTACAGGGATAAGAGGTAGAGAGAATGCTATTGGAGCCAATGGCAAAATTTTCCTATGGTATAATTAAATTTTAAAATATTGCAGTTCTATTACACATAGCTAAAAAAAATTAGGGTACTAGAAAGCTTTTATTGAAAAATAGCAGGCTATTTTTCCCTATCTTTTCTATCCACCAGTCCTACTTCTTGGAAGTAACCAATTTCCATTTTTGTTTCTCACATTTATTTCTATATTTCTTTTTTAAAAGATGTTATTTATTTGAGAGAGAGAGAGAGAGAGCACAAGCTGGGGGAGGGGCAGAGAGAGAGGGAGAGAGAATCCCAAGCAGACTCTGTGCTAAGTGTGGAGCCCCACAGGGGGAGATCGTAGGACCCTGCGAACATGACCTGAGCCAAAATCAAGAGTTGGACTTTAACATATTGAGCCACCCAGGCACCCCTCTCTATTTCTAAATAATGGGTTTATGCTGCTCTTACTCGATATATCAGTTTTAGACAATTCTTATGGTTATAAGAATTTTACCACTTCAAGGGGAACCTGGGTAGCTCAGTAGTTGAGCGTCTGCCTTTGGCTCAGGGCGTGATCCCAGGGTTCTGGGATCAAGTCCCACATCCGGCTCCCTGCAGGGAGCCTGCTTCTCCCTCTGCCTGTGTTTCTGCCTCTCTCTGTGTCTCTCATGAATAAATAAATAAAATCTTTTTTTAAAAAAAGAATTTTACCACCTCCAGCACACGTACAATGCATACTTCTCTCCCCATTTTCTTCCCATTTGGTTTTTCTTTCACGCTATCAGCCTTCCTCAAAGATCTGAATGGCATTTGTCCTTTCATGTGCATTATGATGTATCATAATGATGAGCTATTCCAAATTTAAGAGTCAGGATAAGGTGTTATTCATTTTCCTTTAGCCTAGTGTTCTTTAAACTGAGGGTTGAGGAATTGGGAAATCAATTTAGTGTGTTTTGACCAACAATTTAAAAAAGAGAAACAGCATGGAATGGAGTGGAATTGCACAGAGTAAAATAGAAAATGTCAGAATGTATCTAATAGAGGTTAACACTGTTTCATGTAACAATTTCAGGTGTGTGTGTGTGTGAATATTCTCTTGGCTCATAACAGTTAT